GACACACTAGTTGAGAAGCAAAAAACCGCAAAACCACACCCCGCAGGAGCAGCGCGAGCAGCTTCAACAATACAGACGACGCACCTGACCCAGAGGCAGCCCCATGTTCCTCCACATCCAACTCAAGCCAATCCAAGGACAGCTCGAGGAGGGAGAAGAAACGCAGGGCCAAAGCCAGCAGGCCACGTGTACGCAAATTTTCCGTAATTAATGCAGCCAAAAGGGAAGAAACCTGCACATAAAGTTGCATCACATCAACATCCTGCAGAAGGGCAGGGAGGAGCAAACATGCATTGAGATGATCAAATTCGCCCCCCAGGAAAACCTGCAACGGCATCTGATCCTCCCTCCACTCAAGCGTGCGGGACCGACAGAATGTATGCCAAGCCTCCAACAAGAAGAGCGGGCAGTCTGCTAACCTGGATGACATTGGAACCTCATAACGATCCCAGTATGGACACGAAGATCCATACACGAAGGAATGCGGTTCCATCACGAAAGCATAATCTGGGAAGCTCAGGAAGTAAGCCTAAACACAGATGCCGAAGAAATATAAGAAAATTCACCTTCGCAAATAGAGTGGTAGACGGTTGGAACAAGTTAAGTGAGAAGGTGGTGGAGGCCAAGACCGTCAGTAGTTTCAAAGCGTTATATGACAAAGAGTGCTGGGAAGACGGGACACCACGAGCGTAGCTCTCATCCTGTAACTACACTTAGGTAATTACAAGGGCTTCCCACATCACATGTGACAGGACGTGGGAAGCCAAAACCTCCAAAAGGATGGGACTGAGGAACCCACAGGATCATGGAACCGAACCCGGGGAGGGATAGACGCCAAATCCAATTTGTACGAGGAGGGAGCTAAAGAGAACCCCCCTTTCTTTGTAACAACTAAGTCCCACTCCAAGGGTACAAAAACCCAGGTAAGGTCCAACAGGGCCCAAGGCCCCCCCAAGTCAACCCCAACCTCACCCCGAGGACCCGGGGGGTTGAGCCTTCCTCCAACCCCCCCCCCCCTCTAAAAGGCAGGAAGCAGGAATGAAGGGGGCCCATTGGTCAGACCCACAAGCTCCAGCTGGAGGACTAGGCTCGAATGCCTCCGCTGCCACCCCGGAAGGGGACTCTCCCGAGACCGCCAGTCTCAAAACCAACTAAACCTTGCCCCGACTCCGAAACTCGACGTTTCGGAGCCGGAAGCAAAGGGGAGATGAACGGATGAACAACCAAAGGGAAAGGACAAGGAGGGGCAGACGGAACCAAAGTCGAAGTGACTCTCACCCCAAAGTCCGGGTCCCTATAACCAGAACGGGGCAGTCTCGGAGCATCCGGGGGACACAACAAACCTATCGCATTGCAGCAACTTAAATCAAGCATGCAACGCCTCTGCTGCCTGCACTCTCGTATCATGTTCAGTAGCTTGGGTGAACTGGAGCACTCACAAAAAAACAAACGTCGCAAAAAGAGTTTCTTTTGACTCTGGGTTAAAAGAAACACCGACCCGACAGGCAGCATGGCGGAAGCACAACCGGTGATTGTCACCCTAAAACATGGGGAACACCCTGAAACAACCATTAACCTCGCACGAAGCGAGAGGAGACTTGAGGGTCACACCCATCGAACCACAGAGCCCCTGCGGGGTTTCCCAGGGCCCTTAGCCTTGGTTTCATGCTAAAAGAAGCCCAGGCAGGGTACTGCAAACTGGCGCCCAAGACTACTGAGTAAACTACTAAAAGCTGAACCCCCAGGACATGTCCATTCACTGGGGCCTAGCAGGGATGGGGGGGGAGGGAAGGTACCACCAAGAAGACAGATACGGATATACAAGCCCTAAATATAGATGCAGGCAATCAACTATAGGCAGACTTCCCCACCAGACAGGAAACAAAAACAAAAGAAAAACCCTGCAAGAGGACAACGTACCCAGCCATCCGCTATAATAGGTGAAAACTATCTGTGCAGTACCCCGTACCCCTACCAGTGACGAAAACTACCCCCTACCAAGGCAAACAAGGGCAACAAAAAAACCCAGCTGACTCCAAGGGCGGCCTATTACCGAGCAGTAAAAGACAGGGAGGTAGATCCTAGGGCGACTTGTAGAAAGTGGTCCCAAGCCCCAGCAGTACTTACTGGGCACCTAGGGAAGGAGACCCTAGGGGAATGCAGCCCAAGTACTGTAGAATATTACTCCTGGCTCTCACACACCTGTAGAGACAGACCACACCACAAGGCAGAGAATCTGTGACCAAAGCAGGAGCCAGAGGCACATTACCTGCCAGTATCACATCAGCCAAGAACTGAGGTTGGAGCGCTGGCGCAACAGTCTGGGGCTTCCCCTTCCCCTTCCCAGGGCGGGTGGGCAGACAGCGGCGCGGCAACATGATGACGTCATGCTCGTTTGTTAATTTTTGTTTGGAGAGTTCTGTCCACTCGTTCAGCTTTTGGTAGCAATATTTTCACCTGAGTAGGGGTTTGTTTTGGGGCGCCTACCTTTCTGAGTGCCGACCCGGTCAATGGCAAACATAGAATGCTCCCAACCACATGATTTCTATAGGTCATTGCTCCTCGTGCCTCTCGGAAGGAGGGCCAGGTTCTGGCTCGTGGTCCCTGGTAGGCAAGACCTCTATGCACTTTGAATGATGCCAGAAAGCTAATAATTCCATATCAACCTGGATAGCTCCGAGGAGCCGACGGGGCTACCCCCAGAAAATTGTGTTGACCCCCAGGGGCCACAGCAGCTGGGTAAGCTCAACAACTAAATGAAGGAACAATGCAGAATACACGAGTCTCCATGCATGGGGAATACTTAGGTGACAAGGCCACATGGATGTAATTCGTTCATCCACCATCACAGCATGAAGGAGCAGAAGGCACCGACACCTGCCTAAGGGCAGTGTACAAGAGCCTAGGCCTTGAGGGTCAGGCCAGGAGTTAGCTGCCTTGCAACACTAGATGCTCTTGAATCTACAAATGACTGAACACATATTTACCTTAACATATACAGTTAATCTCATTTATTCATGAACCTAGATGTACCAGTACAGGTATTACATTGGGTAATACAGTATACCTTTACTATGATCCTAACTCATAAGTAACAAAAATCACAGTTTCTCTTTTGAATGAACTCTCATATGCTGTACTAGATTTGACTTGTATGTAAAGAATTTCTGACACACTGAACATTGATATGGTTTCTGACCAGTGTGAACTCTCATGTGCATTATTAGATTTGACTTTTGTGTAAAGCTTTTTAAACACTCTGAACACTGATATGGTTTCTCTCCTGAATGAATTCTCAAATGGCATACTAGATTTGACTTCTGTGGAAAGCCTTTTAGGCATTCTGAACACTGATATGGTTTCTTTCCCAAATGAACTCTCAAGTGACGTGCTCGACTTGACCTTCTAGTAAAGCATTTTAGACACTCTGGACACTGATATGGTTTTTGACCAGTGTGAACTCTCATGTGTAGTACTAGATTTGAGTTTCGTGAAAAAACTTTTATACACTCTGAACACCGATACTGTTTCTCCCCTGTATGAACTTTCATATGATATACTAGACGTGACTTTTTTACAAAACTGTTTAGGCACACTGAACACTGGTAAGGTTTCTCTCCTGAATGAACTTTCATATGGTACATTAGAGATGACTTGTGTTTAAAACCTTTTAGACACTCTGAACACTGATACTGCTTCTCTCCTGAATGAACTGTCATATGCTGTAGATTTGACTTTATGCTAAAATCTTTTACACACACTGAATACCGATTTGGTTTCTCTCCTGCATGAACTCTCATATGACGTACTAGTTTTGACTTGCATGGAAAGCCTTTTAGGCAAACTGAACACTGATATGTATTCATTTTTTTCATTAACTGTTTTATTTTAATTAATGTATATGAAAATTCTCCTAATGACTCAATACTGATATGGTTTCTCTCTAATGTGAAACATCAAAGGTTTAATGGGAATGATGTTTAAGGCAAAGGTATTAAACCAGTTTAATACTCACAGCTAGTGATACAGCCTATCTCTTTGATGAACTAAACATTATTTGTGGTTAATTTTTTATAATAATGCATTACAGTTTGTGAATTTCTTTAAAGATATTGTAATACTAATGGTTTCACAACCTTTTGAATTATTTTTCTTAAGGATTACTTTTCATATTTTTGTTTAAATATTATGAACTTTACTGAATTAGACCCAAGAATGGCCTAAGTGTGAACTTTGTACAAGATTCAACAGTGAGCAATGCAGAGGAAGCCCTTTGTTTGAATAGACTAAATTATTCAGGGTCCTGTTAGTACAGTTGGGTTTATTCTTTATTCTCAATTGGAAATTCTGGGTTTGAATCTCAGGCAGGACAGAAATGGTTGGGAGTGTTTTTTATCCCCTAATGCACCTGTTCACCTAGTAGTAAATAGGTACCCATATGTTAGTCAGCTTGTTGTAGAGTTGTATTCTGGGGAGGTTCAGTAATTTGACTCTTTGGGGGGGGGGGAACCTTGATATAAGCCTAACATGTATATATATATACACTGGCTGCCTGTCCCAAGACACAATGAACTATTATTAAAATTAATATAACTCACAAGGGGCATTTATAAAGTAGCATCAAAGTAACCAAGATAATATTGTTATTAATTCATTAGTGTGTGGTACAACTGGATCTCTGATGTTAACAAGAATGGACAGGTACTTCAGTGAATATTTTCAATATATTAAACTATCCTTTCCTATATTGTCCAGATACATGCTCCCCAACCAACAAGCAACAAGAATTTTATGCCATGAGAATAAGTAATTATGAAAAAGCAGTCAGTGTGGCACTATTACAAAATACAGTATTAAGAGATCCTAGATATAATTCAGAAAGAAAAAAGATGATTGTTTGCTCATTATGCACTGTAAATACACACACACCAAAACTGTATTGTACAGAATTAATAAGGCATAAAATTACTCGGGGAAAACAAATGTTGCCATAATTTTTGTTTAATTTAAGTGTATACACATAATTTAAATTTGCATTACATTAAAATTATTGAGCTCGGAATCTAATTTGCTAAAATAAAAAACGTATTTCTACTCAGATAAGTACAATACTGTACTGGTATCTAAGAACATCCCAGCTCAAGAGCCAGGAGTTAACTGCTCACATAATTTAACATTTAACACATTCAAAATTAATGAACAGAATTTTACAATGATAATACAAAATGGGTTCCTTCCTCAATAACAACAGGTAAAAGTTACCAATAATGATATAAATTTTAAAAGTATTACTGCATTATTGTTAAAAGCAGAACTGTATCTTTATAAAGTGCCACACTGCAGGATACTAACAATAAAGTTTCACAAACACTGAGATACTAATGGTAAACTGTCATGAACTGTAGTACATTAATGGTAAATTTTTACACACATTAGCATACTGATGGTAAATGTTACTGAAATATTTGGAAGCAAGGTGAGTATCAATATAAAATAATATATATAAACTAATATCTTGGTACATAAAGTGTATAGATGACTAACAATGACAAGGAAGAGTAATGAATTTTTTATGTTTAAAACACTCAAAAGAAGGTAATACTGGGTCATACAACTATGATCAAATGAATTTACATTCTTGCAAAGCCACTAACATGTATAGAAATTATATATGATTTTTCTATAGAACAGTGCATAAAAGTGAGAAATTGAGTACACACAACAAATTTACAGTACTTACATTCCTTACTATATTTGTATAATGATAAAAAAGCTTTCCCAAAGGAAACTGTTAAACACCTGGAATACATAAACCAGCTGTATCATTTGCCACTTTTAATGTTTAAAAGATATTTACAAAATTTGTAGTTAAAATCTAAATATGTTATTCTATTGTTGTAGTGTTTACTGCAAAGGGCGAGATTGGTGCATTACAATATCTGAACAAGTTAAGGGAGCCATGTCTACAGAATGTTGAGGCTGAGTAAATAGTAGCCAGATTATTGAGATGAGCTGTAAGCCAGTTTATTGAGATGAGCTGATGCCATAATGGGTAGGTCATTGAGGCTGTGCAAGTAGCAACCAGTTTGTTGAGGCTGTGCATGTAACAGCCAAGTAGTTGGGGTGAGCTGCAAGATACAGAGGGTTGCCAGTGTATTTGTATTTCTGCTACCGGTGACAATCACTAATGACAAATCAAGAACTTCTGCCACTCACATTCTACATGATATTGAATGCTGGCACGGCAAGTGTAATTCTTTTACTGAAAGAATTGGCTGAAAAGAAAAAGGGAATGAATGAGTAAATAATATGGAATCGGTTCAATAAAAAGACAAAATTTAAGTACAGTGGTACCTCGGAATGCGATTGTCCCTGTATGCGAGGTTTTCGGAAGGCGAGCAGTATTTACTCCAAAAATTTGTCTCAGAAGGCGAGGGTTACTTCGGGACGCGAGTTTGTTGATACGCGTACAGGCCGACCTAGCGCGTGGTGGTTCGGCGATCGTCGCCCCTCCGCCCCTCAGTTTACCGTTGTCTCGCACTCAGTGACTACCCCCACATCAATTCTTCTCGCGGATTTTCAGTGTTTTGTTGGATTTTTGGTGATTTGTCTATACAATTTGTTATTATATATCTCACCATGGGTCCCAAGAAAGCCAGTGGTAAGGATAAAGGCCAGAAAGCTCATGTGAGGATGACAATAGAGGAGAAACAAGAGATCATTCGGAAGCATGAGAACGGTACACGTGTTGTTGAACTTTGTAGGCAGTACAACAAAGCCACATCAACAATATGCACTATACTTAAGAAGAAAAATAAGATTATGGGTGCTAAAGTGGCAAAAGGAGTAAGAACATTAACGGCACAAAGACCACAAATACTTGAAGAAGTGGAAAAGTTGTTATTAATTTGGATACACGACAAGGAGTTGAGGGGTGATAGTGTTTCAGAGGCCATTATTTGTGAGAAAGCCAGGGTGTTGCACGAAGACCTTCTAAAGAATACCCCTGCAACGAGTGATGCAGATAAGAAAGAGTTTAAGGCAAGCAGGGGCTGGTTTGAAAAATTTAGAAAGAGAAGTGGTATCCATAGTGTTACAAGGCATGGGGTTATGTGATGTGATTATGGAAGGGGACTCCCCTTCCAAACAGTAACTCCTCTCCTCTTCCCCCCCCCTCCTCACCATCTTCCATACGCCTACAGCACTCGACAGCAAGGTAAGTAATAACTGGAACACAGTTTTGTAGGTTTATTTAGATGAATTAGGTAAATTAGGTATAAAAATTTAGTTTGATGTGGGTTTTTTGGGGTAGTCAGGAACGGATTAATTCATTTCCCTTTATTTCTTATGGGGAAATTAACTTCGGAATGCGAGTTTTCGGAAGGCGAGGCGTCTCCAGGAACGGATTAAACTCTTATTCTGAGGTATGCCTGTACCGTATATTCCGGCGTATAAGTTGACATTCGAAGCCTAAAAAATATTTCCAAAACCAGGGGTCCACTTGTCTGCCAAACATAAAATGTGAACCTTTACCACCGAGAGATAAACAAGTGAAACACCCAGCCTAACACTCGCTGTACACCACTTCCCATAACTTTCACAGCAGGGCATCATAATTATTTAGATAATTTCACTTGTGAAACTATTAAATTTTCTTGGCAAACTGGTGGAGGGAGGGAGGCAGAGGAGGGAAGCAGCCAGCCAGGCAGGAAGGGGGAGAGGCAGGCTGATTGCCATGCAAGGCAGGGCAAGTCGGTGGCCTGCAAGAGGGGGGGTGGGCAGGCAGGTGGGCAGCCGCCCGGCCAGTCAGGCAGGGAAGGAACAAGGGAGGCAGGGCAGCACCTTCTATCCCCAGACCCCCACCCCCACCCACCAAACACTCTGGGTTGATAGGTAAGTACTGCACAACGCCAGTCAGCTGATGGTTGCTTCTTCATGCCAGGAGGGCTACACCAAGTCGTCAAATTTTTCTCAAATGGAAATGCATTCTATTTAAAATGTACCACAATCTTGAGCATTATAATTGCTCCAGTATATCTTGCTAATAAAACAGGCAAATTACAGTGCAGATAATGTGATAATTGACAATAACATTTCTCAGTTGACTCATTGCTTGGAAACATTCGACGAGCTTCCAACCTATTCACTGCTCAGTCTGCTAGCCTCGCTGTAGGCTCAATTCAGTATCATAGAATACAGTGGCACCTCAACATACGATTGCCCCTACTTATGATAATTTTGAGTTACGATATAAATTTCATCGAAAAATGCGACTCGACATCCGATATTTGTTGGTACACGTTCGGGTCGGCCGAGCGCGTGGTTCCCGGTCACGCGGTCCGACCTGCCTCAGTTTACTACAGCTACCCGCTTAAGTGACGATCGCGCCTATAAGAAATTCCACTTTTGTGATGATTTTTTGCATTTTGAACATTAAAGTAATTATTATATAATACGCCATGAGTCCCAGGAAAGTCAGTGGTAAGGCTCAACATACGAGATCCAATGTAAAAATGACCATAGAGCAGAAACAAGAGATCATTCGTAATATGAAGATGGTGTGCAGGTAGGTGAACTGGCTAGGCAGTACAACAAATCTGTCAACGATATCCACCATACTAGCTAAGAAAAAGGACATTATGGGTGCTAAAGTGATGCATCATTACAGACAAATGTTAAAACGAAGGGAAAAACAAATGTCTCTTGACAAATTTGTAGTGAGACAAACAAGCACTGAACCACAACCAGGTCCTAGTGGTATTCAGGCAAAACGTAGGAGAGAGAGAGTACCCCAGAGAAAACATCACTGCCTGATGTGATAATGGAAGGGGACTCCCCTTCCAAACAGTAACAACTCTCCTCCTCCCCCATCACCATCTTCCATAAGCCATCAAGAGCCCTCCATAAAGGTAAGAGTAACTTTGGTACTGTATTGTAGTTAGAAAAAATTGTATTCAGTATAAAATGTATTTTTATGTTAATATTTTGGAGGGTGGGGAACGGATTAATTCAAATCCCTTTATTTCTTATGGAAAAATTTGCTTCGACTTCCGATCCGTCTCTGGGAACGGATTAGCATCGGAAGTCGAGGCCCCATTGTACATTATCTGTTTCATATCAGCAATTACATAGATACATGTAATTTTAATTATAGGATCATAATTAAGCTAATTATAGTTAATTATCATTAAGATTATATTACTTTAAGATTATTTAAGTCAGTATTAATTAACACTTTCTTAGATTCAACAGAGCAGAAGAAGTTGTTAAACACATATGGCAAAATCTTACTGAAGCGACCATACGAGTCATAAATACTCATACTCCGCCCAAGTAAAACAGAAACAAGCAACACTTACTGGGCCAGCCAGAGGCTTAGGGCCCGCACAGAAATATCCCTGCAAAAAAAAAAAAAAGATTAACCTTGTAATTTTTTTGTCTTTATTAATTCCATTTTCTTATTGAACATTATTCTTGTCAATCTTTATTGATTCTATTTTTTTACTTGACTTCTGTATCTTCCTTGTCTAACTGCAGTGATCTTTATTTTACTTTTACTCGTTTCTATTATATGTGCATTTGCATTTTTTGGTTGTCTTTTTTGCTTTAGTTATTTTATATTTACAACAGATTTAGTATTTTACTGTTCTGTAATTGCTTGCCTTATTGTATCTTGACTCCATTGCATCTAATTGTAAGCTGATGTTGATCTTGATCTTGAACTAAATCTGCTGTCACAAATCTACAATAACCAGCATGTTGATCATTACTACTGCAGGTATTACACAGCAAACCTTACAAAAAATAAAAAACGCCAAAATAACACTTGCCTATTCAACCAAAATGTCATATCACTTGTTAAACATTTTTATGATATAAATGCACTACTCACAGCACTAGGTACTAAACTATCGTTCATTATTTTAACAGAAACCTGACTAAGTAAAGACTATACCCAACTCCACAACTTAACTGGTTATAAAGCCATTCACAACTGTAGATCTAATAAAAAAGGAGGTGGCACAGCTATATATTACCAAGATATCTTCATCTGCAGTGATAGTGATAGTCATTAGTGATGTCATTAGTGATTAGTGATGTCATTAGTGATAGAAACGACTACCGTGAATATACCTTTGCTCAGTTCTCGATTAAATTCCTTAAATCCTCCTTGACTATTGGAGCTATCTATAGATTTCCCAATACTGTACTAACATAGCTTCATTCTCAGATAACCAAAGGAATCTTATAAATAACAATCTTAACAAAAATCACATCATTCTAGGAGGTGACTACAATATTGACCTATGTCAACAAAATAGCCCTCAGGTCGACTATTTCCTAAACAGCATTAACTGTTATGCTAATCTCCATAATCACCAAGCCCACCTAAACTCCATAACCACCAAGCTACTACCCTGGATCACATATGGACTAACATAACAGCTCCCCTTTGCATCTGGTATAATCACTGACAGAACAACTGACCACTATTCTACCTTCCTCATAGCAAACATGACATAACACCACCAGATAACAAGAAACTTACCTTCAGATTACACAGTAAAGCTGCAATAGGCAACCTCAGAAATGCACTTCGCAATATAAACTGGGAATCTGAATTCAATAATACTCAGTATATAAATTCATTAGCTAACCTCTTCTTTTACAAAACTCTAAGCCTCTACAACACTCATTGTCCTCTCCTCACCAAGCAAGTAACTAGCAAAAGATTAAACAGTCCCTGGCTTACAAGTAGTATATTCAAAGCAATCAACAAGAAACATGAATATGGAAAAAAACTTAGGATTGCTTAGTTACAAAGGAAGTAGTTAAGAGGTACTCATAAATGCTTACAGTATAATAAGAAAAGCAAAATTCTTATTATCAGAGTAGATTCAAAGAAGTAAAAGGCAACATGAAAATCATATGGAAAGCTATCTCTAACATCCTAGGAACTAAACAACATTCACATAACCAGATAAAACTTTCCAAGGATGGTTCTACACCTGCAACAGATTTAGAAACGGCAACTGAATTTAATAACTTCTTTTCATCGATTGGTGCTAACCTTGCCAGAAAAATCCCACAGACTTGGACACATGTTAACTTCTTTCAGGCAGCTATCCAAACTATCTTCTCCTTTCGCGAGTCAGCCCGTTGTTTTCATCACTCACTCACTAAAAACAAAAGCTGGGAACATTAGTGAAATATCATCTGTGATATACAATAGTGTCTCCCATGCCCTTGCGCCACCCATAACTCTGCCGTTGAA